ACGTTGTTACGAAACATTATATCGATTTTTAATAGATAATATTCAAATCTATTCAGCAAGAATCTTATCTGACTGACAGTCGAAAGAAAAGTTAGTCTATTGTCATAAATTCACATTTTCATAGAAAAAGAAAAATTTTAAATTCGTTCCAGATGAATAAAATAAAGAATTTAAAAATTTTTATTTAGTAAAATTTAAATTATTTAATTTTATTTTAAATTTTAATTAACAGTTACTTCTGAATAAAAATTACAATTTTTTCCCAATGAAAAATATTTGTTAAATTTTATTTTCTGTTAAAGGGAGGAGGGTACACCTATATTTTTAACTATATTAAAGAAATAATTTAAATATTTTCACCAAAATTATTTTTAACGTAATTTTTTGTGAGGAATTTAATAGTTATGAAATAAAATCGGTCAGAAAATATTTTGAACCTTTCTGAAATTTTTATTTTTCTTAAAAATTGGTGGATTTTGAAATCCATACGTAATTTTCCAGAAAATATGTTATTGAATCCACACAAAAGTTTTCAAATAAAAAAAATCCAAACAACCAAAACATCATCATAAATAAAAAAATTGATTTTCATAATTTTTATAGAATTTTTTTGAAAAAAATCTGTTTTTAAGCTGAAAATGCTAAAAAAATACAATTATTTTTTATTTTTTTAAAAGAAAATTCATTCGCTTATTTTTCTCACTAATTTCAGATCACAATTTTATCCTAATTTTTTTGTATTTTTATTTTTTACATATAAAAATTATGATCTGAAATTAGTGAGAAAAATGAATGAATTTTCTTTAAAAAAAAATGAAAAATAATTGTACTTCTTAGCACTTTCAGCCTAAAAGCAGATTTTTTTTTTAAAAATGCTATAAAAATTATGAAAATCAATTTTTTTATTTAAAAACTTTTTTGTGGATTCAAAAACATATTTTTTACAAAATTACGTATGGATTTCAAAATTTACTAATTTTTAAGAAAAATAAAAATTCAAAAATGGTCAAATTATTTTCTGACCAATTTTATTTTATGACTATTGAATTCCTCACAAAAAATTACTTTAAAAATAATTTTGTTGAATATTTGAATTATTTCTTTAAAAAAGTTAAAAATATAGATGTACCCTCCCCTTAAATAAATTGTTTCTTATTAATGGAAAATTGTAATTTTTATTCAAGTGTAACTTTAAATTGAACATTTTCAAATTTTCCCGTAATCATTCTCAAAAAACATTTATTTATTTTTAATTATTTATTCCCCTATTTTTTCTAATTTTCAAGCAACAACAAAAAAAATGTAATTTTTATTTTAAAATACGTAACTATGGCATTGGACTAACTTTTGTTCCGATTGTTTGTCTAATTCTTTCTTATTTATTTAATAAGTATCAACGGTCTGACAAAATAAAAAACTCCCTTTCGTAAAAAAATGCTAATATTAAGAAAAAAATGTGAATACGAATCAATTAATTAAAATTGAAATTAATCAAATATAAAAAAAATTTCAAACATCATAATTAAATTTAATTTTAAATGATTTTTAAATTAATTTCATAAATCGGAAGAAAAATCAAAAATAATGTTAATTGTATTAAAAAAAAAAATTACACAGTGACTAAACAGAAAACAAATTCTATCTTGCGTGACACTCAATTGTTTTTATTTACAGACTGTATATACGCTGCGTAAAAAATGCCTTCAATATTGCACGTAATTGCATGTTTTAGTTATTTTTATTTATTTCCATTTATAATTATTGCTTCCTTTTGCTCAGTTCGCACATCTAATAAAGAATATATAAATTTTTCTCTTAGTTGTAAATATTCTTTATTTATAAAAAATATTTACTCAAAGGCTGACGTATGTATATCATGAATAGCTTCTATAGTGATTTTATTTCTCTCTCTTCTATATTATCAACATATATAAATATAGTGTATAATAGTTGCACCGAATTCTGATGTTCATAAAAAAAATCGTCATCTGTTTTCTAATATACATATCGCATGGTGGTAAAATAAAACAGGTGATCTTAAAATGAACCAGGATCTATTATTATTTTTGGATGACTTTTTGTTATTACCTGTAATAATCTTCTACCATGGAGGATATTTTACGAAATATAATTTTAGATATTGGAAATATTGATTTGGAATAAATAGCGAGGAGACGAATATAATTTTCATATATATGTTTAAGGAAAAGAAAATGTAGCAAAATTTTTTTCAATAATCAAACTTTTTTTAATTATATTGCAATTCTTTCCTATAAATTTCAAAATTAAATTTAATTCAAATTTAGTTTTCAAATTATCGACTACTTGCCTGTATGATCAAATAAATATTTATTTCAATCTAAAAAAAAATTTTACTTGACAATATCAATTTTTCAAATAAATTATTTAAAAAATATACCTAATAAAATAAAAAGACCTTTTTTTAAAAGTGTTAAAATAGCGCGGAATTTTTCATTATTAAATAATAATTAAATTACTTTTCTAATTAGAAATAATAATTACATTATTTAAAGATAGTTGAATAATTTATTATTCCAACCACTTATATTTTTATCAGTCTATATTTATAATATATTCCAGAAATGGGAATAAAATATTCTGGTGGTTTTAAAATTTCTTATTCTACTTAGATTCATAAAATTCAATTTTTTCAGAATTTAAAATTATTTTTATCTAATTGATTTAAATAATTAGTAAGGCTTTAATAAATATTTGATTTCAATTAAGTAATTTAATTAATAACTGTAATTCTTGAAAGAGTTTTTTGTTTACATATTGAGAATATTGTTGAATTGCATTAAACAAAAATTCAATTAAATTTATTTATTTGAATTGAAGTAGAATTTAATTTCATTGAATAAAATATTAAAATTTTAACTAAATTGAATTTGAATTAAGTTGCATTGAACTAAAAATCAATTAAATTGAAATAGAATTGAATTGCATTGAGTAAAATTTAGTTTGAATTTGCAGTGAATTGAAACAGAATTTAATTGCTTTGAATGAAATTTGAATTGAATTGCAGTGAATAATAATTCAATTAAACTGAATTGGAATTTGATTACGTTAAATAAAAATTCTCTTTAAAATGAAATGAATTAGAATTGATTTTTATTGATTAAAAATTCTATTCAATGCAATTTGAATTAAAATACATTGGATTAAAATTAAATTCAATTGCATTGAATAAAAATTTAATTGATTTTAATCGAATTAGAATTTAATTTTATTGAATAACAATTGAATTAAATTGAAGTTTAATTAAATTGCATTGAATTAAAAATCAATTGTTTTAAATTGAATTGCAGTAAATAATAATTGGATTAGGTTGAATTCAAATTTAATTACGTTGAATAAAAATTTAATTTAAAATTAAATGAATTTGAATTTATTTGCATTGAATGGAATTGAAATTCCATTCAATGGAATTTGAATTGAATTAGAATTTAATTTTATTGAATAACAATTTAATTAAATTGAAGTTTAATTGAATTGTATTGAATTAAAAATAAATTGTTTTGCAATTAAATTGCAGTGAATAATAGTTGAATTAAATTGAATTCGAATTTAATAACGTTGAATAAAAATTCAATTTAAAATTAAATGAATTAGAATTGATTTTGATTAATTAAAAATTCTATTCAATGCAATATGAATTAAAATGCATTGAATTAAAAGTAAATTTTAATTACATTGAATAAAAATTCAATTGCATTGAATAAAAATTCAATTGATTTTAATTGGATTAGAATTTAATTTTATTGAATAACAATTGAATTAAATTGAAGTTTAATTAAATTGCATTGAATAAAAAATCAATTGTGTTAAATTAAATTGCAGTGAATAATAATCCAATTGAATTGAATTCGAATATAATTACGTAGAATAAAAATTTAATTTAAAATTAAATTAATTTGAATTGATTTGCATTGAATAAAAATTCTATTCAATTGAATTTGAATTGAAATGCATTGGATTAAAATTAAATTCAATTGAATTTTTGTGGATTTATCTTGATTAAAAATCCAATCGAATGGATTTAAGAATTAGAATTCAATTAAATTGGGTTAGAATTGAAATTCGTTAAATAAAAATTCAATTGATTTGAATTGACTAGCACTGGTCAATTCTAATCAATTCAATGAAATTCAATTCTAATTAATTTAAAATTAATTTTTATTCAACGTAATTTAATTCAAATGTTTGTTCAATTTAATTGAATTATTATTTATTAATTAAATTGAATTAAACAAAAATTGGAATTAAATTACGTTGAATAAAACTTCAATTGAAATTAATTAGAATTGATTTGCATTGAATAAAAATTTAAGTTAACGAAATGAAAATTGAAATACAATTGAATATAATTCAGTTAGAGTTGAATTAGATTTCTAGTTTAAAATTAAAACAAAATTTGAAACCCTTGACATGAAAATTAAAAATTTGTTCCAAAAGTACATTTATTTATTAAAGTTTTATCAATGTACCTGGAAATACCAATTTTTTTTTTAAATTTATAAAGTTTTTTGAAGAGTTATTGAGAATTTTTGAAAATTTCGTAAAGTACTCCTCTGTCATTATCAATCACTCGAACTTGTTCGATATCAAGAAATTATACGTACATTAATACAAATCATTAAAAATCATTTTTCAAAATATTTTCGCCATCTTGAATCCGTCATTTTGATTTTGAAAATTTACTCTTCTATTCGTAATCAGTAATTCAAAAATACTTCTAGATTACAACATTCATAATTCATTTCACTTTATTTAATTTTATTTGTAAGAATAAAAAATGGCACTGAGATACTTGAACGTAGTTGCGATATTAGATGTTGCTAATCAGATATGAAAGAATCATCATCAATAAGAAAGTAAAATTGAATAAAATTTCTTGATTCGAACAAGAACGAAAATAACTCCTCCCCAAAAGAAATATCCTCGATTTTATTAAAAATTCGTGAAATCATATTCAATAGCACTCCCTATCATGGCAAGCAAGCTCCGACGGGCAAAAGATGATCGGTCACATGATTCTCCTCAAGTCGTCAGGCGCCGGAAGTAGTAGTAGTATATTGGGTCTCAAAGTGGTTGGAGGAAAACTCCTCGAAGATGGATCTATGGGCGCCTTGATTGAAAAAGTGAAGAAAGGAAGTACTGCCGACATCGAGGGCCAACTTAGACCTGGTAAGAGAAGATGATCATCATCAGATTCAAAAATTTACAAAGTTTCCTTCTCCATGAGGACGAAAAAAAATCATCTAAATAAGAAAAAAAAAATTACTACAAAAAAAAACAAATCTTCAAGAAATCAAAAGATGCAAAGGAGAAGAAAAGAACTCGTTTTTGGAAAAAAAAACAGTTCTTTGAAGGAGACTGACTGGTCAAGTTCCCAATAGATGATTCCTGATTGGATGCCTGTTTTTTAGGTGACGAAGTTATCGAGTGGAATGGAAGGTGCCTGCAGGGCAAGAGTTTTCAGGAGGTTTACGATATTATTGCCGCATCGAGGCAGGAACCTCAGGTAGAACTGGTTGTCTCAAGGAACTTGCTTTCGTCAACAACTTTACCCGGGAGGTCAACGACTGCATCAACGACCACCCCTGTTGCCTCAAGGCGTGCTGTTGCTCAGTCACAGTGGAGACAGAAACACGAATGCACAGGCGTTACTCAACAACCTCATCACAAAGGTAAATATCTTCTTTCCTTCTTCTTTTTCTTCTTCTTCTTCTTCTTCTTCTTCTTCTACTTCTTCGTCATCCCCCTCAAAGACTACCATCATTATTTCTTTCCCCCAAAATAATCGCCCTTCGACTTTCATTTTTTTCTTTTTGTATCATCATCAAGAGAACATTTCAAGTCCACAACAAGGTGTATCAGTTGTCTCAAGTTTTCAAAATTACTATACAGTTGTCAGAAATTTGCAAAATTACTAATTTACTATTAATTATTAAAGAGAATCTTTAGATGATTTTTATTATTAGAAGGTAATTACTATAACTCTCGATACCTGACTCAAAAAAAAAAAACAGAAGTCTGTTTAAAACAATAGTTTAAGGGGATGTAAAAGTCGATTCGATTTTTACACAGAGGCTTAATGGAAAAATTAGATTGACTTGAACACTATGTTTCAGGTAAAATAACTGGAATTCTGGTTAAATTAACTATAATCCTGGTTAAATTAACAATTAACTTGAACACTGCAAAAATAGGTGTCTTTTTTGATATCTTAAAATAAGATGTAAGATGGAAAAATGGTATCTTACATCTTAAAATAAGATGTTTTCTAAAGCATCTTACTGATATTTATGATGCTTTATACGTTTTAGCAGTGATGAAAATATTTCTTCCATCTTAGAAAAGTAAGATACTTTTGTAAGTTCTTTAAAGTATCTTAAATTAAGATGTTTCTGTTGCAATAAGATGTTTAGCGATAAGTTACTTGAGAATCGTAAGATGCGCCATAAGTGTAAGTTACTAAAAAATAAGATACATATAGTGTTTTCCATAACAGCCCATAGTTAACCTCAAAACTTTTTGCCCAAAAAATACCATAGAAAATGTGTACGAAGATACTTTTAACATCTTAAATTAAGATGTTTCAAGTAACTAAAAAGTGTCTACCAAAACATCTTAGAAATGACTACCAAAACATCTTAAATTAAGATACTTCTTTTTGCAGTGAATTCAATCGGTTACATTATCTATAATTCTGGTTGAATTATCCGGATTTCTGTTTAAATTAACTGGATTAATAAAATCAGAAAAATTGGTAAAGGCATTCTATTCTCTGCCAAATAAACAGAATTCTGTAAAATTATCTAAAAAAAGTTTTAACTAACTGCAATTATGGATAAATTAAATAGGTACCTATAAATCTCGTCAAATTAACTGAAATTTTGCAGCCAAATGAACTATAATTCTGGTTAAATTAACTGTATTTCTGGTTAAATTAGCTAGAATTCTGGTTAAATAAACTTCAATTAAGGTTAAATTAACTTGAATTCTACAATTACATTATTTACAATTCTGGTTAAATTAACTTGAATTAAATCGGTTACATTATCTATAATTATAATTGAATTATCCGGATATTTGGTTAAATTAACTTGATTAATTAAACCAGGAAAAGTAAAAAAGGCATATTTGACATTCCATTTTCGGACAAATAAACAGAATTTTAGTAAAATTACCTAAAAAATGGTGTTATTAACTGCAATTCTGGATGAATTAGATACAAATATCGTTAAATTATCTTAAATTTTGCGGTTAAATTAACTATAATTTTGGTTAAATTAATTGGGATTTTTGGTTACATTAACTAGAATTTTGGTTGAATTACTTGGAATTCTGGATCAGTTAACTAAAATTCTGGTTAAACTATCTAGAAAAAGTATAGTAAAGGCATATTTAACATTCTATTCTAGTTCAAATAAACAGAATTTTGGTGAAATTAACTGAATTTTTGGTTCAATTACATAAATATCTGGTTTAATAAATTTAAATTCTGGTTAAATTAAGCATTTTTATAGTTAATAAAATCAGATTAAGTAGTAAGTCACATTTAACATTTTATTCTCGGCCAAATAATCAGAATTCTGTAAAATTACCTAAAGAAGGTTCAATTAACTTCAATTCTGGAGAAATTAAATACAAATCTCGTTAAATTAACTGAAATTTTCCAGTCAAATGAATTATAATTCTGGTTAAATTAACTTGAATTAATTCGGTTACATTATCTATAATTCTGGTTGAATTATCCGGATTTCTGGTTAAATTATATGGATTAATAAAATCAGAAGAATTGGCAAAGGCATATTTAACATTCTACTATCGGTCAAATAAACAGAATTCTAGTAAAATTATCTAAAAAATGGTGTAACTGAAGTTCTGGATAAATTAGATAAAAATATCGTTAAATTATCTGAAATTTTGAGGTTAAATTAATTATAATGATGGTTAAATTACCAAAAAAATGGTTTAATTAACTACAATTCTGGATAAATTATCTGAAATTTGGCGGTTAAGTTAACTATAATTCTAGTTAAATTAATTGAATTTCTAGTTACATTAACTAGAATTGTGGTTGAATTAATTGGATTTCTGGTTACATTAACTCGAATTCTGATTGAATTACTTGGAATTCTGAATCAGTTAACTAGAATTCTAATTAAACTACCTATACCTCTGGTTTAATTAATTGGAATTTCTGATTTCATTAACTAGAATTCTAATTGAATTACCTGGAATTTTGGATCATTTAACTAGAATTCTGGTGAAACTAACTAGAAAAAGTAGTAGGGGCATATTTAACATTCTATTATAGTTCAAAAAAACAGAATTCTGGTGAAATTAACTGAATTTTTGGTTCAATTACATAAAAATCTGGTTCAATAAATTTAAATTCTAGTTAAATTAACTTGAATTATGATAAAATTAACTTGAATTCTAAGGTTATATTATCTACAATCCTGGTTATATTAACTTGATTAATAAAACCAGGAAAAGTAATAAAGGCATATTTAACATTCTATTCTCGGCCAAATAAACATAATTCTAGTATAATTACCTAAAAAATGATGTAATTAAATGCAATTCTGGATAAATTAGATACAAATATCGTTAAATTATCTCAAATTTTGTCGCTAAATTAACTATAATTCTAGTTACATTACCTAAAAATGGTTTAATTAACTACAATTCTGGATAAATTATCTGAAATTTTGCGGTTAAATTAACTATAATTCTGGTTAAATTAATTGGATTTCTGGTTTTATTAACTAGAATTGTGGTTGAATTAATTGGATTTTTTGTTACATTAACTCGAATTCTGATTGAATTATCTGGAATTCTGAATCAGTTAACTAGAATAATTCTGTTTAAACTAAATAGAATTCTGGTTAAATTAATTGGGATTTTTGATTACATTAACTAGAATTTTGCTTGAATTACCTTGAATTCTGGATCGGTTAACTAGAATTCTGGTTAAACTAACTAGAAAAAGTAGAAATGACATATTTAACCTTCTATTATAGTCAAAACAAATAATTGCTGTTACATTAACTAGAATTCTGGTTAACCCAGCCATAAAAAAGTATGAAAATTGCATATTTAACATTCTACTTTAGTTCAAATAACCGGAATTTTGGCTGAATTCTGTTTTTAAAAAACTCTGGTTTTGATTAATTGGAATTTCGGCTAAATTAACTAGGTTGTAATTAATCTAACTTGATAAAGTTGTAAGTAAAAATTCAATTTTCTAGTTTAGTTAAAATAACCAGAATTCTGAATACCTTCTTTTATCCTTGGTACCTCTTGAATACAAGAATTTTTTTTTTCATTTCACTGTTTTTCTAACGATATCAAATTGAGACATTTTTGCTTCGTTTTTTGTCTCAATTTGATATCCTTAGAAAAACTGGGTGAAGATAATTATGTTTAAATTTCTACTGCTTTGATTTAAAAGTATTATTTGATTGACATTAACCAGAACTTTCTTTTGAGTTTATTTTTTTGATTGAAAAAAAAAATATTTTAAAAAAAAAATTTGTGTACAAACAACTGAGTGCAGTTTGATGAATTTAAAAAACCATAACTACATAAATAACTATTTTCCCAAAAATGCATAGAAAAAATAAAAAAGCATTTCGAGAAAGAAAAATTTCTTTGATAAAAAAAATAACCTAAATTTATCCTACCAAAGAAGATTAAAAGAAATTTTACAGAAGGATCCTTAATAAAAACGAGATACGTTTGAAAAATCCCTCAACCTCTTATCTCATTACCGCCTCCGTAAACCTCTTTCTAAAAATTTCCTTAAAGAAACACTTTTTCTATTTCTTGTAAAATGACAACTGATACTGCATTTTTTCATTTCGAAAAGAGATTGAACATAAAGATACAAAAAAAAAAAAATATCTCTTACAATCACAAACACAGCTTTATTGTCACAGATTATATGATGTTTCGAATTCCAGGTCTTAAGAAATATATTCTTTGGGGTAGGCGCTTAAATATACAATTTCTCTATAGTTTTATTGAATGTTCCCTTGAAAAAAATTCTGTTTCTTCCTAATCTTTTTGTTTCCTAAATGTTTTAGGATCATAAAAAATACTCGCTTAGTAAAATTGTTGTTGTGTAATACTAGTAGATGGTAGAAAGTAGTGCTGATTTGCACCCCTTTTGCTAAAAAAAAACACCCAGCCTCTCTACTATACTAGTTTTTATGGGAGCAACAACTTGTAATTTTGTAACAACTTGTAACAAATTGTAACAAACTGTAACTATATTTATTATACATATTTATACACTTTTTGTACTTCAGAGTATAACCTATAAAATGTATTAGTTTGCAAAAATAATCCTGCTCCTTTTTCCATTTAATTTACTTTTTATAAAATTCACTTTTTTTAAAAATTTACTTTCTACAAAATTTACTTCTTTATAAAGTTTACTTTTATACAAATATTTACTTTTTACAAAATTCCTCTATTTAAAAAAAAATTGTTATCGAACATGGAGTGTTCAGACTATAATGCCTAATTAAAAAAGTTCTAAAAAATTTTTCTACAATGATTCTATAGAATGATTTTACAATTATTCTAATCAACAATCTGTAGAATTTCACTAGAATAATTCTATAGAATTTCTACATGAATTCTAAAAAATATTTTGTAGAAAAAGATAGAGGTAAGTAATTTCAGGGTTGCCAAAAAAAAATTCAAAAAAAACTCAATTATCCTTTTTCGAAAAAATTAATTCTACAGAATTGTCAGTGAAAAGTATGAAAAATTCAAATTTTCAAAAATTTTATTTTAAAACTTTTTTAAAATTTAATTATTAAAGAGAATTTTGTAATTAATTTAGATTTTTTCGGAAAAACAATTTAAATTAAAATTTTGTTTTTCCCTGAATTCAATTAAATATATTTATATATTAAAAAAGAAAAACTTTAAATAAATTTTTTAAAAAATCAAATTTCAAAAAAAATTATTTGAATACAGAATTATTAGTTGTAAGTATGAAAAATTCAAATCTTGAAAAATTCTAATTTCAAATCTTTTCAAAATTCAATTAATTCTAAATATTCATGCTATAATTGCTTTTAATATTCAATTATTATGTAAAATTTTAACTGAAATTCAATTTTAAATCAATTTCTATTAGAAAATTTTACGAGAATTTGATTATTTAAATAGAAAAGTAAATAACTTATTTAATAATTCAATGTTTCTTGAAACTAAATTCTCATAAAGAATTTCATCAACAAATTTTTAAATAATTGAATTTTTGAGACAAATGTTATTAAAATTTTTATGAATAATTATATTCTTTGTGAAATTTGATTAAAATTGTATTAAAAAGAATTGAAATTCTCTGATGAGTTTTATTATTTATATAAATAATTGAATTATTGCGAAGAAATTTGTAAAAAAAATTTGTAAATATTTGAATTCTTGTGAAATTTTTATTATTTGTGAAGAATTTTATTAAACTTTGTTTTAGACAATTGAATTCTTTTGGAAAATTTTATTAAAATAGTGGATATTTAAATTTATTGAAGTGAGTAACATTTTTGAAAATAATTGAATTTCGGAGAATTTTATTATTTTTAAAGATAATTGAAATTTTGATGAGAATTTAAAAAAATTTATTGAACATAATTGAATTTCTGTGAAGAATTTTTATTACTTTTGAAAATAATTGAATTCCTAAAAAGAAATTTATTATTTACGAAAATAATTGAATCCCGGTAAAATTTTTATTATTTATGAAAGTAATTGAATGATTGCGAAGAAGTTTATAAAAAAATTTGTAAATAATGAAATTCCTGTGAAATTTTTATTATTTTATGAAAATAATTAAAAGTGTGTGTAGAATTTTATTAAATTTCTTTTAAATAATTGAATTTTTTTGGAAAATTTTATGAAAATAATAGAGATTAAAAATTATTGAATTGAGAAAAATTTTTGAAAATAATTGAATTTGGAAGAATTTTATTAGTTTTAAAGATAATTGGAATTACATTCTTTGTGAAATTTGATTAAAATTGTAATGAAAAGAATTGAAATTCTCCGATGAGTTTTATTATATAGAATAATAATTGAATCCCTGTAAAAAATTTAATTATTTATGAAAATAATTGAATTATTGCGAGGAAATTTATAAAAAAAAATCATTTGTAACTTCTCCAAAATTTAATTTTTTTATTGTCTTTAACTAAAATTTTTTTATGAGGCAAACAAAAATGACACCAAAATTCATAATTTTCTCATGAATTTAAAAAATTTTATTTTTTTTAATACTTTCAAAAAAAATTTCTGTCTTTTCACTGAATCGCTTGTTTTTGTTTCAAAATTATTTCTCTCTTTTTCTAAAAAATAATTACATTCGTTTAGAAATTCTATAGAATTACTCTAGTGACATTCTAAACAATTTTTGCTAGAATTTTTTGTGGAAATTTTTTATTCTAGAAATTATTCTAGTTAAATTCTGTAGAATTTTTTTGACTGGAAAAAAATCATGAAAATTTCTACACCTAATATTTACCAGAATTCACGTAGAAATCCTATTGAATCATTTCGCAGTAAAATTCTAATAAAGTTCTAGTAAAATTCCGTAGAATATTCAGTATATTTTATATAAAAATCTTTTGAAAAGTTTCATTCTGGTAAAATTTTACAGAATTTTGTTGACAGGCTATATGTATTATCTTGAGTCTAAAAACACATTTTTCGATTTTGAAAAGAAAAAAAATTTTCCTATTTTTTTTTTATTTGAAATTTAAAGATGAATGACATTACACAGTTTTATCGGATAAAAACTGTGTTTTGCGGAAAATTATGATAGAGTGATATATGCTGTTAGATAAGTATCATTTGCTGCTACTGGATTTCGACGGCATTAGATTTATTGCGAAGCTTGGCTGCCACTTCGTTACCTCTATACATATATATACTATATATAAAAAAAAGTCATTTTGAAGGCGGAAATAGCTTTAGCAACGAAGCTGTACTGCATGCTTCTGATAGTAAATGGCTAAAGGCGTTAGAGACTGTAATTTATTTAAATGTAAATTTATTTATGAAATTTAGCAGAAAATTTGATTAACGAAGAAAAAGCTCTAATAAAAAAAATAATTTGTCGTTTTTTTCTATTACAGTTCTCGAGTATAAAATAGAAAAAGTTTTTAATTCTAATAAAGTGAAATGTATACAATATTGTTATAGAAAGTTTCTCTAAATATTTTTATATAAAATTTTTTTTTCATTTTTTACATCAAAAAAGAGAGAGAGAGAGGAGAGAGAGAAAAAAATTCTTTGAACTAAATTTTAGTTTATTGGTACATTTTCTATTTATATTAGAATTAATTTTCAAAAAATTGGAAGAATTCTCAATAGTAACTAATTTACTGAAATAACAAAAAGTGAATAAAATAAATCTGTCTTATTAATTCGAAATCAATACACTGAAGTTCTTATCCGAATTATAATTCCTTCTTATCAGAATGACAATTATAATTTATAATATCAATTTAAATTTCAGGAGAATATTACGAATTAAAAAGTTTGCGAATTTCATAAATGCTTCGAAGAAGGCAAATTGTAAATGGACCATTATGTTATTATTTTCACTCTAAAAATAAATATAACTGATTTGATTAATGAATACTAAAAATCTTCCGACTAATTGTTTAATTGGATTAAAAATTAAATTGGAAAATAATGAAATAAATTCGACATTTAATGGAAAGTTAAATAAAAATATTTCAATTCAATAAAAAAATTATTCTAAAAAAACTAAATAAATTCGACAAGTTTTTAACGTTCAGATGAACGAAATATTTCGTATTAAAAATACTCCTAATTAGTTACTCATTGCAATAAAAATTGAAAACTTAAATTTTACTCTCAGAAACTATTAATTTTTTTGACAGTGAGACAAAATTATTATGAAAAAAATTTAATTTTGAATAAGAATTAAATAAATTTCGTTCATTTGAATGCAGAAAATAAATGTAATAAAGATAATAAAAATAAATAATAATAATAATATGAAATATTAATAAAGAAGGTAAAAGAAATTAAAGTAAAAAAATATTAAAAATCAATAAATTTAAGTACATAATTGTAATAATAAATAATGCAAAAAACCAAATTAAAAATGTAATAATTGTCATACTTTTTTTACGCGAAAAATGAAAATAATGAAAATCTTATCGAAAATTTCGTTTCCTTCAAAAATACGAATTTAACAGCTCGTTTATTACATAATTTATATTCCTTAAAGTAAAACAATTCTATTTCGTGTAATTTAAATTTTTAATTAGCCTGACATATAATCAATAGGTCAATAATTTCAACAAACTTGGTATAAATTTCCAGCGAGAAAAGGAAATTCTCTGATTTCAAAGAAAAGATTGTACGCTTTGATGTTTGCTTTTTTAAAAATTTTCCATTATAGAAAATATACTTTAAAACAAAAATGTTTGACATAAATTTTTTACTTGATATTAATGCAGTATATATAGTAAGTATATAAAATTTCTCTCTCTTTCTCTCTCATTGGAGAAACCAGAGAAACAAGTGATTGATGAAACTATAATAATAGCATATTGATTTCGAAGATACTTATACAGACAATTCCATTTTACTGGATCTTTTTATAGCAGCCTCGGTAATAATTTAATTATAAATGTTGAAGAGAAATTTATCAGCGCAATATATTCATATACTTTTTTTTTAAAGTCTCTTACATAAAGATCCGCGAATAAAAATTTATATTATACGTATAATAATGTTTTATTTAATATAAATATTTTATAAACAAAAATATTAATTTTTTATTTCTCTTGTTTTTTTTATTTTGTTTTTATTTATCGAATATTATTGTTTATTAATGTAACTACATATTATTATATTTATTATATTAATACACTGAATAAAAATTTATTTGATTCAAATAATCGATTATACTTGACTATTATCAATTCAATATTTACTTGAATCAAATAATATTATTTATTGAATTAAAAAAAAGTAAATAATTATCAAATTACTAAATTTAAGTAATTATTTGAATACAAAAATATTATCATTATTAATTGTGAACAAAAAATTGTATATTACTTGAAGAAGAAATTTATTTTTATCTAAATATTGTAAATAAACCAAGTAATGAGGAGAATAGTAAAAATAAATCCCCTCAAATTTTAACCCTCTTGTCCTTTTTTGTAAAAACAGAAAATAAAATTATCTACCGGTGCTTTTATTTCCCTGCAAAAAAAAGAGGACAAAAAAATTGAAATAAAAACGATTTTTTGGGAATCTTTTCAGAGCTTTACGATACGAGACGTGAGAAACCTTCGGTTTTGGTAACGTCACCGGGTTCACCGGATGTTCATACGCAAGGAAGATCGAGACACATAAGACAGCCAACGGGAAATGTTAATTTCGGAGGACGCATTCAGGTGAAATTGAATTTCGATCCTAGTGCCCTTCAATTGATTGTCACCTTAGTGTGCGCGACTGGTCTCCCTCCACGAAGCAATGGCCAAGCAAGAAGTCCATATGCCAAAATATTTTTACTTCCTGATCGAAGGTGAGCAATTTTTTTTCTTTTATTTAAAACAAAATGGATCAATGATTTATAATTTTGTTGTTTAAATTTAGAGGGAAAATGAATAACATCAGGAACAAAGGGTGTGATTCTGTAATTTTACTTTCACCTTAACTTTGAACTTTATTTTCACTTTTACTTTCACTTTGATTTTTACTTTCATTACATTTTCATTCATATTCAATTTTTTCTATTTCTGACAATAATTTCTTTTAAAATAACTTAATTCCTGAAAAACTATTAAAAAATTATTACTTACAAATTATTTAATAAATAATTTTGTTTAAATATTTCAAAAATAATTGAATTTTAAAAGATGTGCGTTTACAATTTTCATAAATAGATGAACTTCAAAAGATTTTAATTTGAAATTTTTGAAAATTTCAATTTTTAATGAACTTAATTAGAAATTTTAAAGAACTTAGATTTTTGATAAATTTTAATAATTCAAATTCTTCTGAAATGACAGCAGAAATTCAATTATTTTCAAAAGTAATAAAATTCTTCGCAGAAATTCAATTACATTCAAATATTTTAAAAAATTTTTGACAAAATTTCAATTCTCATTATAAGTAATATAAAATATTTATCCAAAATTTAATTATTTTAACAAATTTAAAAAAAATTTTCCATAAGAATTCAATTATTTAAAAAAAAAATTGTAATAAAATTCTATGCAAACATTTAGTTATTTTTATAAATAATCAAAATTTCTCAAAAATTCAATTATTTACAAATATTTTTATGAATTTCTTCACAATAATTCGCAATTATTTTTGTTAATAATTAAATTTTTTACAGGGATTCAATTATTTTCATAAATAATAAAACTCATCCCACACTCTTTCAATTATTTTCATAAATAATAATATTCTTCGGATAAGAATTTAATTATTTTTATAAATGGTAAAATTGTTTGCAAAAATGCAATTATTTTCAACAAAATTTTAATAGAATTTCACGATCGAATACAATTTATTATTTTCTAAATTTTAATAAATCCATCAAAACAATTCAATTATTTTTTCAAATAGTAAAATCTTTGCAAAAATTCAATTATTTTCAATAAAGTTTGACGAAAGAATCCAATTTTTATGAATTGAATTTTAATGAATTAATTCTGAGAAAAATTTAATTATTTTCCAAAAATTTAATTTCAATTATTAAGAAACACGATTATTTTAAAACCATGAAAGAAATTGTTTATAAAATGCAATGACTTTCAAATTTTTTAATTAAAATTATTAAAAAAACTCCAAAATTTTTAAAATATTCAAAGAAATTCTTCAAAAGACTTTAGTAAGGGATTTTTAAAAATTTTAATAAAATTCATCGCAAGAATTTAATTATTATCATAAATAATAAGACTCATCGCAGAATTTCAATTATTTTTACTATAATTTTAATCGAATTCTTGGAAAAATGGAATTATTTTTAAAAATTTTATTAAAATTCTCCCCAGAAATACAATTACTTTTATGAATTTTAATAAAATTCATTACGAAATTCAATTATTTTCATAAATAATAATATTCATCAGAAGAATTTAATTATTTTCGAAAGTAATAATCTTTGTTAAGATTTCAATTATCTTTATAAATAACAAAATTCTTCCTCAAAATTCAATTATTTAAAAAAAAAATTTAATAAATATAATGTCAAAATTTCAATTATTTTCAAAAATTTGCCTGAGTTCAATGACTTCTAACATCTACTATTTTAATAAAATTTCTCAAAAGAATTCAACTAATTATAAAATTTTTATAAAATATTTCTTAACTTCTTTCAGATTTAATTATTTCAAAAAAATTGATAAAACTCTGCACGAACATTCAATTATTTTCTAAAACAATAAAAATTCCACAGGAATTTAATTATTTAAAATAGAATTTGCATAAATTTTTCCGAAAAAAATCAGTTGTATAAATTTTTTTTTTATAAAATTCTTCGCAATAATTCAATTATTTTCATAAATAATAAAATTTGTTACAGTATTTCAATTATTTTTAATACAATTTTAATTAATTCCTCAAATAAATTTAATTATTCTGAAAAATTCTATTAAAATTCATCAAAAAAAAAAAAAAAAAAAATTAAAATTCATTATTTAAAAAATTTGTTGATAAAATTCTTTATTAGAATTAAATCTTGAGAAACATTCAATCATTTAATAAATTATTTATTTTTCTATTTAAATAATTTAATTTTCGTAGAATTTTCTATAATAAAAATTGTTTTAAAAATTAATTTCAGTTAAAATTTTAGATTATAATTGAATATTAAAAACATTATAGCGTGAATTTCTAGAAATAATTTGAATTTTAAGAAGGTTTCTAATTAAAATCTTTGAAAATCTGAATTTTTCATACTTTTAACTGACAATTCTGCAGAATTAATTTTTTTGAAAAAGTTTAATTGAATTTTTTTTAAGGGCATTTGAACCATGATGACGTCACAGATTTAAAACTAATGCTTTGCACAAACTGTGACGTCATCAAGGTTCAAATCCCCTTAATATTATTTGAAGTTTTTATTTTCCAAAATATTTAATTGAAGAATTTTCGAGTAATCAAAATTTCGTAAAATTAAATTCTAATCAAATGGATTTAAAAATTCTCAAAGAACTTTTTCAAAAATTATTGAAAATAATTGATTTAAAGAAGAATTTTAGTTAAAAATTCCAAAAAATAATAATTAAATTGAAATGATAAGAATAATGTTGAAGAAGTTACAAAATTCAATAAAAAAAAAGTATTTAATTTTGTTTCATTATTTAATTTTCTGTTTTTTCACACAATTTGCAATTAGCATTTTTTTTTTGATTATTTTTACATTTTACTATATTTACGATTCAAATAATAATTAATTCAATTTCAGTATATCAATATATATAAAAGTAAGATTATCTCTTTAAACCGCATGTGACGCAACGTCAAATATATTGATTATTGAAAATTTTTACTTAAATAAAACCACTGACATTTACACTAAAAACAAATATGCATATAAATTTATCGCTAAGGAAGAGAAGTTGATTATTTTATTTTATTCTTTTTTTTTTGATATTATCTCCTCGAAAAATTGGTGAAATCGCCTTGAAGAAAATGGTTACAATTTCAATTTTGACGCACAGCAAGACAAATGACTTAACATAGAAATTGTTACTAGCCAAAAAATCCATGTTTGGGGGGTGGCGAATTTGGCAACTCTGCCAATTCACAAGTTGACCTAGTATAATGCTTCCAAAACTTTCCTTGTTTCTTCGACTTCAAATATATTGTCAAATTTTCCATTATAACATTTTCTTGGAAAAATTTCTCCTTATTAAAAATTATTACTATTAAAATAGTTATAAAACTTTTCGTTAATGTATTCAGTAAAACTTAGTGATAAAAATAATTATTAGCTGTGAAAGGGGATAATTTTGGAAAGATTTACCCTTTTTGAGGGGAAATCCTTTTTCTTTACCTTTGTGGAATTTGGAACTTGAAAGTTATTTTAAAAACTTTTTTTTTCTAAATTTTTCTAAATTTTTTCTAAATTTTTTTTTCCAGTGAAAAGTCCAAAAAGCGAACGAAAGCCTTGGCAAATACGAATGACCCAAGGTGGGACCAAACTTTCGTTTATAATGGAATCAGATGGTCGGAGTTAAGACAACGTGCTCTAGAAATTACAGTTTGGGATTATGGTAGATATGTTGCAAACGATTTCATTGGCGAAGCCGTTATAGCATTAGCTTCTTCTTCACTCACCGATGAATTAGAGTGGCATTATTTGACTGCCCATGAAGAACATCGCCATGCAAGGTACCAAAAAAAATTTTTATTTTACCCTAGCAATGGAACTTTCGAAAAATTATACCCTAAAAGTTAATATAACAAATAGCAAAAATTTGCCAACTTCTTCCTACCATTTTTAAATAAAATTAGCAATTTTAAAAATAATAGAATTTAAAAATTTTCTAATTTAAAATTTTGTTGAAAACATGAAAAAAAAATAATTAAATTTTGGAGAAATTACAAATTGCAGAAATTCAATTATTTTCAAAAAAAAAAAAATTAAATTCTTATAAAATTCAACTATGTTCAAAATTTGAAAAAAAATTTCGTAAAAAACCCAATTATCTTTATAAATAACAAAATTGATTTGGAATTAGTAAATTTTACTAATTCAAAGACAAAAAATTAGTCACCAATTTAGTAAAAAAAATTTTATTAATTCAAATTTAAAGAGTATATTAAGTTTAGCATTATAGTTATAATAAATTGAATTGCAATAAATATTAAATGGAAATTAAATTGAACGTATTTAAAAAAATATTAAAAGAAAACAAAAAATATTTTCGTCTCTCACAAATTGACAGATAAAAGAAAGTACTTCTCTCCCCATCCCTATGAAGATTTATTGAAATGTAAAATACATTGGATTCTTTTTTCAGTCATTATCAAGATTTTGTCGACGATGTGACGACGCCAGGCGATTGCCATCTTAGTCCACCGTTAACAACCTCAAGACTTAGTGATTCAGATACTTCCGAGTGCGATATCACTGACTGCGATGTTTCTAGGGAACAAAGAAGAACGGCTGACGGTGCCAGTATAAGTAGTATCGGCAGCTCTTCTAGGTAAGGGGACTTTTCTAAATCTCATTAACATTTCCTCGATTCTTGTAAAGTTTTCAATTTTTTTTTCTTTCTTTTTTTTTTTTTTTTGAACTACAAAAATCAATTCAGGAATCGCGAACTAGTCTCTGAATTTTAAAACCACATTCATGTCTTATTCATATTTCTCGCATTATTTTATTCGACTCAGTGTTAAATTGCCCACGACTATTTGCATATTTTCGCAAAATGTTTAATTACAGAGCGAGGAGTTAAGATTTCGCCATTTTTAATAACAAGGAGAATTGTTTATTATTATTGTGTTTTTTTTAAATTCACTCATTAACTACATAATTATCATTGATTATATTTTCAAAAAATTTAATTTAATTCTTTGCGAGAATTCAATTATTTTCATAAATAATAACATTCTTCGGATAAGATTTTAATTATTTTTATAAATAGTAAAATTTTTTTGAAAAAATTCAATTATTTTTAAACAAAATTTTAATAAAATTTCACAAACGAATACAATTATTTTCTAAATTTTAATAAATTCATCAAAACAATTCAATTATTTTTTTAAATAGTAAAATCTTTGCAAGAATTCAATTATTTTCAATAAAATTTCACGAAAGAATTCAATTTTTATGAATTGAATTTTAATGAATTGAATTTTACTGAATTAATTTTTAATTAATTAATTTTTAATAAATTAATTCTTAATGAATTCTTCCAAACAATTCAATTATTTTTATAAATAGTAAAATTCTTTGCAGAAAACTACATTATTTTTTCAAAAAATATTAAAGAAGTTCTTCAAAAGAATTTAATTATCTTCTATATTTAAATAAAATTCCTTGAATGAATTGAAATATTTTAGAAAATTGTAATATAATTCTGAGAAGAATTTAATTATTTTCCAAAAATTTTAATAAAATTCAATAATTAAAAGTTTAATTTCAATTATTAAAAAATACAATTATTTTAAAATCATGAAAGAAATTTTTTATAAAATGCAATTACAAGACTCGAATCAATAAAAGTATTAAAAAATACGGACTTTACGGACCAAAAATTAAAAATTAGGAACCAATTACTAACATTTAACCAGTCCGAGTCAAATAAGAGAACATTTTACTTAAAACTATAAAAAAAAAACTTTTTCAAAAATATTAACATTAACATTAAATATTAACATTTTAACTGAAATTAATTTTTAAATCAATTTTTATTAGAAAATTCTACTAGAATTCAATTCTTTAAGTACAAGAATAAATAATTTATTGAATAATTGAATGTTTTTTAAAGTAAATGGCGCGTAACACATTATAGCATCCAGCCCCTCAATTAAATTCTATCAACGAATATTAATAAATTCACTTCCTTCAATTCGAATATTAATAAAATTTGTAAGAATAATTAGAATTTTCGATAAATTCTGCAATAAGTTTTATTAATTGGGAAAATAATTCAATCCCTAAGAAAAATTTTACTACTTTTGAACAATATTTAATTTTTGCGAAAAATATTATTACTTTTGAAAATAATTAAATTTTTGCAATAATTTGTAACTTTTTAAAAATTAAATTTTTTACCCTGTTTTTAACTAAACATCTTCTATAAATCCATTATTTTTAATAATTTTTAAAAATGTTCTTTAAGAATTTTCATATTCATTTGTTTACAATTCAATTTTACAAAATTTCAATTATTTGTAAACTCTTCGATAAAATATATATTAAAAAATAAAAACTTTAAATAATTTTAAAAAAAAGTCCGCAATTAAAGTTTCACAAAAAAAATTAATTCCACAGAATTGTTAGTTAAAAATATGAAAAATTAAAATTTGCAAAGAATTTAATCTAAAACCATTTTAAAATTCAATTATTTCTAAAAATTTACGATCTAATACTTTTAAAATTCCTTTATAATCTAAATTTTTAACTGAAATCCATTTTTAAATCAATGTTTATGAGAAAATTTTACTAGAATTACATTATTTAAATACAAAAGTAAATTATTTTTTGAATAATTGAATGTTTCTTAAAATCGAATTCTCATAAAGAATTTTATCTATAAATTTTTAAATAAATAATTTCTTTTGAGGAATTTTAATAAAATTTTCAGGAATTTTTTCGAGGAATTCGATTAAAATTGTATTAAAAATAATTGAAATTCTACAAAAAGTTTTATTATTTACGAAAATAATTGAATTCCTAAAAAGAATTTTATTATTTACGAAAATAATTAAATCTCCCTAAAAATTTAATTATTTATAAAAATAATTGAATAATTGCGAAGAAATTTATAAAAAATTTGTAAATAATTGAATTTCTGTGAAGTTTTTATTATTTTTTGAAAATAATTAAAAGTTTGTGTAGAATTTTATTTAATTTTTTCTTAAATAATTGAATTCTTTTGGAAAATTTTATGAAAATAGTATATATTAAAAATCATTGAATTGAATAACATTGTTAAAAATAATTGAATTTCGGAAAAGAATTTAATTATTTCTAAAGATACTTAAAATTTTGATGAGAATTTTTAAAAATATTTGAACATAATTGAATTTTTCGAAGAATTTTATTACTTTTGAAAATAATTGAATTTCTGCAATCATTTGTAATTTCTCTAAAATACTCCAAATTATATCGTACAATTTACGAACTTTTCATCCTTTTTGAATCAAATTACGGACTTTACGGACCTTTTTTCAAAAATACGGATTTTTACGGACTTTTACGGGATTTACGGACCTAGTTCGAACCCTGCAATTACAAAATTATTTTTTTCAGTCGAAAAAGTCCTACAGAATTTTAGTTTCTACTGAATATTTTGTGAAATTTCACTAGAGTAATTCTATAGAATTTCGAAAGTAACGTAAATTTTTTGTAATAAAAAGAGAGAAGTAATTTAGAACCAAAAATACTAAAAATGTTTTTGACAAGGATTTCGAAGCATAATAATTGTAAAATTTCATTACAAGTTGTAAATTTATAAAGAAAACTAATAATTGCGAAACAATTTTACGAATAGTGAAAATTAATTTTCGAAAAAAGCATTTTTTTTATTAAAAAAAAAAAAAATTAGGAAACAGAAAAAAAAATTGAAAAATAAATTCCCCTGGTATGAGTAAAACGAAAACGTTTACTTGCGCTGTGAAACATTAGATAACATGTTCGATTCACGAGAATAGGGTGACCAATCTGATATCCTGCAGTATCTTCGCTTTAAAGCTTTTTTACTGGGATCGTAACTGACGTCTTAAGTGTCGACGAAACGGTTATTCGCCTGTAACATCTTCCTGTAAACGTAATTGCCAATAACACGAGGTCATGGCACTTTGCGATTGCTTGAAAATACTGTTTCCCCGAATATTTTTCTTATCAAAAAACCCAAAATGGAGGAGACTTTATCGGCGTTGTCACTGAATTCGAGGAGGCAAACAAAGTTTTCTTAAAGAAGAAGGAAAAATAATTTTTCAATTTTAAACAATAATTTATTATTTACTTTCTGATCTAGAGTCAAACTGAGGGTGGGAACTAAATGGGGTAGCTAAGAAAATGATTTTCGGTTTCTTACTCTTGGATTTTGAATTCTGTATTCTCGCTTATGAAATTTTTTTTTCGTTTCTAGAATGTGACGAGAATGAAGTTTGTTAAAAATTTTGCCTAAGGAGAATTTTTCTATGTAAAATTTGTTACATTCTTCTTATCACATAAAAAAGTATTATTTTTTTATAAGAACTCCGCCAAATGATGATTCTACTAAATGAAAAATTAATTTAATTAAAAAAATAATAAATAAAACTTTCTGATAATTAAAATTCCAGATTCCAATTTTAAATTCGAAATAAATTTCGCTAGAAACAATTTAAATTCGTGTCATCTCGTAATCAGTAGAAAAGGAAAGATTCAGTCAGACAGTACGTTTTACATTTAACATTTTTAAAAGGGAAAAACGTAATTTCTAGTCAGACGTATTATCAAGAAGGTGTAAAATTTATTATCCGTAGTAAAGGAAATTTTTGTTAGAAAAATGGTAGATATAGTAGAAAAAGTCACTTTGAGTCAGACAAAATATTTTCTATTCGTTTTATTTTATTAGCAGTAGTACATAACAGTTTTAGTCAGACAGTCGGTTTTAAATTAATGTATTTAAAAAAAAGTGACAGAAGTTTTACATAGTCAGAAATACAGGTAAAATTTACTACTAGTAGTGACGGACATTTTTAGTCAGACAGAACGTTTGATACCAGTGGTAAAAGTCAATTTTATTCGGTCAAAATATTTTCTATTCCTTTAATTTTATTATTAGTAATAAAAATAATTTTTACTCAGTTAGATTTTTCAAATTTTCACAATTTCCAATTAAAGTAAAAACAGTCAGTTTTCAGTCAGACGAAATATTTTTAATTATTATAAATTCAGTAGTACGAGTCAATTTTAATATTAGAATTAGTGATAAAATTCTTTTAATCGATTTGAGTCTGACATTGATAGTAAAATTCAATTTTAGTCAGAATTAAATTCAATTCTTAGTGAATTCATCTTATTTTAATAACAGTAGTAAAAATCAGTTTTAGTCAGACAGTAAGTTTTAGATTCATTTCTGTCTGTCAAAATGTAAATTTCTGTAGTTTTATTAAAATTTGTCAGTAGCACAAGTAAATTTTAGTCAGATAAAAGTTTTTAATTTCAATTTTTCTTTTTAATTAAGCAAAAAAGGGGATTTCATTTTTCAAAAAGGAATCAAATTTTTTTTTTGTTAATTATTTTCATTTTTTTTATTTATTTCCGTAGTTGGTAACTTTTGTTAAATTTATATTCAAACTTTTTATTACAATGCTACTTTTGTTTTAAAATTACATGAATTTTACGATATAGGAAGTAAGTTAAAAAAAAATTAGTAAAATTATCTTGGGACTTGGAAAAATATTTTCTTTGAAAATAGTAAAATTTAATGTTAAAAATTGTTATTTCCAGAACACCTTTTACTATTTTCAAAGACAATTTTTTTTT